TATATATATATATATATAATCTTATGCATTTTTTGTGAAAAAACTGTCTTGGGCCGCTTCTGAAAGCTGCAGACACCGGCTACGAAAATCCTTCATGCTTTAAACGTTGAAATTTGTTACAAAAGTTGTATTTACTTCTAAATGTTAACAAACCATTATCCTGCAGAGTTGTAAGGAGTAGTTTCCATCTCAGTTTTTTCTGCTTATTGTATTTCGTAGTTCTTGAATTCTTAGACTTATGTCTATAGCGTACTTGTTGAGCTTTTGGTCGCACAAGCCCATCTAATGGTTCTTTCTTTAAAATTATGTGTTGTGGTTCTCTAGAAACATGGAAGGTCTAAGGTAATTCTTAATCCGGCAGCTAACGAGGTGAAGCAGTAGTTTTTTAGACTTTTGTGACCCTAAAATGTGTACTAGTGTATAATTTTATCAGAATAAAATACAAGAAATAGGAGGCACTGGAATGAAGATCAGTTCTTAAATGCAGGTTAATAATTTTTTAATATTTCGGAATAAAGTACAACATTTATAAGGAATTTTCAACGTTTAAAAGATACCAGTTTTTTATAGCAGGTGCCTGCGACTTTCAAAAGCGGCTTGGGACGATTTATGCAAAATGCATAAGGTTACTGTAAAAAGACCGGGTTTTTTCAGTTTCACATTGCTTTCTGGCTCGTAGCTCTCGATGTTAAAAGATCGCCATCATTAACACTTATGTTGTAGAGTAAACAATTCTACACAAAATATGTCTTTCAAAAAATTTAAAAACACGTTTTGTTTTCTATGTTTGTTCGAAATATTGTTTTTACTATATCTGTGTGACTTTTTATCAGGGTTGAAATATTTAATATGCATTTAGAAAATTCAGGGCATGAGAAATCTAATAAATGAATAATCGTTGAGTGTTGTTAAGAACCAGCTAAATTATGAGTCTGCAAAGGCAGGCAGGTTAAGCTGCAATCTGGCAGATTGTGCAAGTTTCAGTGATGCAACTTGACGGGAAACTTTTTCAGGTTTTTTTCGCCTTTCTGTGTACTAGCTCATACTCTGCTAACCGGCGAAATTTGAAAAAACTGAGATGTTAAGGGAAAAAAGTGTGCTATTAGTTATGGAATGGCATATAT